TTTTTTTTAAAGAGGAGGAGAGTATGGCTACTACAGGTCTTGAAGGAAAGATGTTCCTTTCTGTATTAGGAATGAAGTCAGATGGCATATTGAAAGATTGAGCAAGAAGGAAATAAGAAAGCTGAGAAATGAATTATCTCTGCAGCCATCAACAATAATGATTGTGTCCCCTTTCATTCAGCCTTTACCCTTTTTCTCCTAACTGTTATTGCTAAAATGCTGTAGTGCGTTCCCATCTCTGTGACCTGCACCACTTTCAACCGGTGTTGCCTTCTCACGTTGAGCTTGTGTGCTGCTCTTCTGTGTTTGTTTACCAGTGATACAACTTAAAATAGCCATGCTTCTGTGTTTCCCTTTGTACTAGGACAGCTTGTAGCATTCACCAGTTCTTCTGGTTTAGCTAATGTCAGTGAAATAAAAAGGCTATTCCATGCTTTATGTTATGTGCTAGATATCCCAAATATTTTATTTCCATTATTTACAGTTCTCTAAAATTACCTTAAACTTAGTCTTGTATTTGCAGTCCACTATTAAAATAACACCATGCTATTTTTCCTTCAGAAACATAATTCAGATTAAGAAATTAATGATTTTGAGAGTCAAGGATTTACAAGTCTCTTAATTATTTTAGGGACACCACCCACCTTATAATGAAAGTTTTGAACTAGGATAGTTTCTTCTCTGGATACTGTAGCAAAGGGGAGCTGATTATTGAAAAGCCTTTTAAATAAGTAAGTCTTGGCCTGCAGCTTCCTTAGATGATGTTTGCATGATTCTGAAGCGTGATTTGAATTGAATATGAGATCAATAGCTTGAATCTGTATTTCAAACGTTTTTTTATTAAGTGTTTTACTTGGAAGAGTTCATATCTAAGATCTGAAAGGCAATGTTTTCATGGTGAATTCTGAATTAAACAGTATTGAAATTTGCTTTTGCCTGTTAAAGTGAATTTGTATACTATTTTTCATCTTCATTTTAGAGTTTTTAAAAACACAACAAAATACCCAACATGCCTGACAGACCAATGAAACTGTGACACTTTCTGTGCTACTTGCTTTTTTCTGTGTAGGCTTGTATTTTAATATTTGGAAAGAAAAAGTATGATACAAAAGTAAGATTGATGTTAAAAATTTGTAAATATTCCCATTTGTCCTATGTTTTTGTATTGAGTATTTAAAAAATCTCCCCTCCTCTAAAGAAAAAGACTGAATTTTGGCTTTTGAGGCAAACGCTGAAATGAAGGAGGTAATTGCACTGCTCCACATCACACCAGGATTTTGTTACTCTTCTGCTTGATGTGTGGAAAAGTTTTCTGTGTTAGCTGTGATCCTGGACGAATTGATTGACTCAACAGATTTGAAAACTTTGGCAACTCATCACCATCACTCATCTGCTTTTAAAAATCCCTGGATGTGACCTAGCAGCCTCATAGATGATGTTTGCCTACTGCTTCTCACAGCGTGAGGCTCAATGCATAGAGCTACCGGTGCACTTTGTGCTGCTGTATAAGCAGTTATCATGGTTTCTCTGCTGAATTTGCCAAAGAATTTAAATTCTTCAGTGGATTTCCTGGATATTTACTATATATCTTTGGAAAAGTTTTCTTTTAGTAGGTTACAAAATATTTCTTGCTAAGTTGAGCTTACCCTGCATAGCTTTATTTCTACATCTGTCTCGAGTCAAAGTTGTTGGCCTCTTATTCTCTTTCTTACAGTACTGACTCATTAAGTAGATAGTACATTATGGTTTTTCGTTGCCATTTGCTTTCCTTTTTCATCATCAGTGTATGTCCAAAGATGATGATCCTTTAATATCCTCAAGATGTAAAACCTGACTTTATTTAAGGGCTGTGAAAATACTGTGATGCTTTTCTTGATTATCATTTTCATTGTAACATTTCTTAGTTCAAGCTAAGCCACTATATGGAGAAGTAACTGAAAGCAGGA